AATTATACCATAAAACCGGCCGGTTTCTTGCCGGTTTTTTACCGGTCTAATCGCAAATATAAACCGGCCGGCTACCGGCCGGTCCGGTCCGGGTGAAAATGTCAAACCGGCCGGTCCGGTCCGGTCAGAAAAAACTCGACCGGTTCCAAGTCTGGTCGGAATCAGTCTCTATTTAATTATACGATATACTCCGTTCAGATTACCAGTCTTGACGAATTGCAGGTCATCTCAGACTAGACCAGACGGTAGTGCAGACATTCGGGAGTAGTCATGTTGGGCATCCTCTGTCATTTTTTGCTCACCTGAGTAAGGATTCATAAGAACTTTTTACCACTGACGGATCCAGGAATTTTTGAAGGGAGTGGCGGATAAGAGAAAAATGAAATCTAATAAGCGGAAGGAGTGACGATTTAGACAAAAATGTAAGATATCCATGGAAAATCACTAGAAAACAACGTGAAGTTAAGCCCGAAGGGGGTGGCGATCGCCACCCTTCACTCCCTGGATCCTCTACTGCTTTTTACCAACTAGCTGGTGGTCATTGAATCTTCTATTTCGCAGCATGATCATACTTTTGTGTTGTAGTGCGCTTCTGAAAGATTTGAATAAAAAAAACTGATCTCTCGAAAACTTTTATTGTATAAGAAAATCTTTCAGATGCAATATTTTGAGAGTATCGACACCTAGATGTAAAAAGTAGAAGTTTTTAAACGTGCGAAGCAATATTTGTAGAGTGGTAGTACGAAGCTTGCATTTGGAACAATATTTAGAATCCTGATAGAGTTACAATTAAGCTGATCACGCAGTATTCGGTCTTGCTAACGATATTTCCGAACACGACTTTTATTTCTACCAGATAAAAATTACAACTCTTTTTTTTTAAAGTTTTTCCATTATATAGCTACTTCATAAATACGTATTTGCTTTCATAAGAAAAAGCTCCTTTGCAAATCTCCTACTATATGCACACTATTTCGGCATATACGACGTTAAAACAATGCGCAACAACTGAATGTGATTTTAATGAACGACGTTTAATTATCATTGATACATCATCCACATTTATCATGATAAGTACTTCTGCAAATGTCCGAAGAGCCTAGTTAAGTGAATCCAGCTTACTGACAGGATCCTACCTAAGATCTAATGTAATAGTTATAGGATGTTAATGCGAACCTAGCGAAAATTGAATCGATATTATTTTCACTTCGTTAAACGATATGCTTGGCGATGAATTTGAGGGTCAATAAATACCTTGTACAAAGGTAACAAAATTGACTGAAATTTCATTATGTACATCCTTAGTGTTCTAATAAACGTTAACAACATTTTGACAATTTATTTTCATGTTTTTTCACATGATTTGTCTTTTCATTTTCCATTAATAAAGTACAGTGATTATAGGATAAAACTGCGGGGTTTGGGACGAGTATGTACGGGTGCTGTATGGGTGGATAGTTAAATAAAGGTATTGAATCAAGTGTACAGTAAAGAGAAGTACCTTACATTCTCTCGTATGCAAGCTCACATCTACAGTATCACATTCTCACCTAAAGCCACGATTTTACTTTAAACACTTGCTGCTTCTTTAAGAAAAAAGAGAAAGCACCTTCGAACATTATAGAAACATAAGAAACTGCGCAATACTTTATGATAGTTGATCACATAAATATTTCCCTTTCCATTTTGGAAACCAAAAAAATGGGTCAGCTGTAGATGTGAAAGTTTGTGCGGGTCTTCTACTCAAACTTGATTCTGCAGCTTTGATGAGAATTTGTTTCATCTGAAAATATTAGTTTCAGCTTTTTCTTTATCATTGTGCGGTGTTTTCGACAATCGTATACACCTAACCGGCATAAAAAATTCGATAAGAAAACTTTTTTCCCAAAAAGTACTTGGATACTCATGGACTTACCTTATATCTATCGTTCAGCAACAGCACATGATACTTTTTTATCAATAGTATTTTATGTCAACCAAATCCATACCGTCGATAGAAAACATCGATTTATCTTCAAGCGTTAGGATCTTAATCATCTGTGAGTGCCTTAATACTAATATAAATTTGAGTCGGATCAGCGCATGTTTAGTCAAGATATCAAAAATATTAGTATATTAGTACAGTAATATTAGTAACAGTAGCAATCAGGTGTAGATGTTGTTGATCTTCTCTTGACTCGCACCCACAATCACACTCCACACCCACACTCTAGTCCTCGATGATCTGATGGAAGCTCTTTTAAAACATCTGTATTAACATCTAACTACATTCATTCTTCTGTTTATTGATTATGAAGTATACAGTATTTATAATTTAAGCAATTTATAGTTAATCAAAACTGTTCCATAGTTTTGAATACCAGAATCATTTTTGCTGGTTAGATGAAACGCTTACTACCACTTGATTATTAATTGAAGTGAAGTGACGATCAACTTTCTTGCATAAGATTAATTTGTGCACTTCCTTGCGAAAATTTGGTGTTGAAAAATAGTAGATATAAAAACTAGTTACTACATTCATATAGAATAAAATAGATGAAATAACATGACAGAGGAAAACAATAGATGATTGATGAAAATCATCATTACCGACAACAACATAATAAGTTTGTTCGATAGAATATGGAATAGATGAAAGCATAGCAGAAATTGATGTTAATAAAATCATACAAGAAGCTTGCTTGTCAGCATTCATATTACTATTAATGCTTGATTGTTTTTTTATCATTCTTAATTGTTTGTATATCAATACACCAAAAACAGAGAGAAAACCGATTGGTATAATTCCATGAAGAATTATTTGAAAAGCAAATATAAAATAATTTGAATAAAAAGGTGAAAAGATACGACATATACCCTTACTTGTAACATCCCAATAGAAAAGTAATGGAATGCTATGTAATGCTAATAAAAAGGTAACCAAGAAAATAAGCTGTTTTGTTTGCCGTTTTGTTGGAGTCAATTGTCTTAGATGAACTTGTTTTGATGATATTAAATATCGATCTACTAATGCCATACAGATACATCCTAATGATAAAAGATCAAATGTAAATAATACGTAATATCGAAATTTGCATAAAATCAACACAGTATCTTGTGCTACTAAGAATCCATAACCATCGAATGCAACGCGAGTTACAAGTGGAAAGAGAATGATAATCAAATTAGCCCAAGATGATACTAATAAATACAAAGCACTATTATTTGTTCGACTATTGTTGTTATTTTCATTTACTCCTCTTCGTAAATAAGACCATTTGGTAAATACAAAAATACTTAAAATATTTCCAACTGTACCAAATATGATCATAAGAATACCAGCAATACTCATTAATTTATTAGCAATGATGTTAAGATATTCCATCTTAGAAAAAAGATAATTTTATTCTCTATATATACGATATAGTTATTTATTCAAGAAAGTTTTCTTTTCTTTTTTTTTTCTTTTCTTCTTCTTCTTCTTCTTCTTCAAAAAAACAAAAAAAAAGAAGAAATTCCATTGTCTCTCAAACTGATCTTATTCCAGCTCATGCTGGTGTTCTCTAGATCGAGAGTAATGCACGTGAATTTATATGAAAAATGTCAAAGCTTTTTTTTGGAAATATAAAAGATTACATATCTTAAATGGGATTATATATATGTTATAATCTTAGATTAAACCAAAGAACGAGACAATCTTTAAAAAAAAGTTTCCCATCTGGTTCCAGTAATTTTTTTATAAAAAAAATAACTGTTATGTTGGCTTTGTAGTGGTTCTATATTTCTTATGTTTTTTATATTGGTCCTATACAGGACTATATTTCAAGTGTTTTTCCTAGATTCCTATTTTTATTAAATGTTCAAAATAGTTGCCATAATTAGGGTATTAGTACAATACGTTCTAACCCGTTACAAGCACCGTTTTATGTGAGATTATTATCAATCAATGCATCTTCAAATTCTCTATTCATAAGACCTCACGTCAAGCCATTTTCTTTAAAAAATCGTTGATAACGGAAGTAAATACTATTTTAATGGGTCCACTTCAAGTCATTCTAAGCCAACTTTTATGAGAAAATGAACAATTAAGAATAATAAACCACTCTTCGATTTATTTTAATCTATTTACCTTCATAGGTGTGTGTGGGTATAGGTATAGATCAAGATTAGACATACCCACACCCCCAATGTTGGCTTGAAATGAATCTATTAAAATGTTATTTACTTCTTTTATCAATCATTTTTTAAAGAAAATGGCTTGTTGTGCAGTCTCATGAATGGATAGTTTGAAGATCTATTGATTGATCATAGCTTCGAATTAAACAGCCGTTGTAGTGAATTAGAGCGTATTTTACTAATACTCCTATAATTATTTATAGAAAGTTCTATCCTTTGTAACAGTTTGTCAAATGTTGTTTCAGACTCTCCTTCTGGAATATTTTAAACTTTCTTGGAAACCTTACGAGTCAGTGAATTTTCATTTGTTTGGTCAGTTAAATTAGACTTGATATGATTATTTAGTCTAAAATCGCATAGTGCAACGTCTGGGTACAACGGTGGATGCAGCATTATATTGATAATTTTTTGTGCTAAATAATTAGTAGCATATAGATGAGTATGAGATCGACATAAGGATAAATGCAACACCTGAGCATCAAAACTTTATTATAAGGTGCTGGACAAGTACTGAAGATGCTAAACTGCTGGGAATTCCAAACTTACACTTTTTTCTCTTGTCTTCTATTATGTTTGTATACAAGTACATATTTTGATTATTTACTTTCCATTGTGTCAGATACTACAATAATATTCAGAAAAGCTATTGTTTATTTTTATGTGGATATGTATGAGTAGAATAGTGGATAATAAAGCGAACATAAATTAACCTTTTCTTATTTATTTAGAAAAAAAATGTTGTGCCATTGTTTCTCACAACTCGAAGATATGTTTTAATTCGTTCATCAGATACGTGTAGAAAAACACAGTCCAAAGCTACAGTTCTGTTTACCAAAATATCTCTAATCTTAAACATTCCATCAATAATGTGTAAGGATATTACTTAAAATATGCCTTAATTGTAACAAAAAATTTAATATATTCTAAATTACTAGCCATTACAGATTATAATGTCCTTTATCTATGTAACTTCAAAACGCATTTAAGCGCCTATTTGGATGAGTTTGCATCACAAATGTATTCAATCGAACATACGGGTCTAAAGTGTATTCTCATGCGTTTAAAGATTATACAAAAATTTTTTTTTCATCGAATAAGTAACAAAAATATTGCAAATTTAAACATTTTGGATTGTCTGTATACAATGTCAAAATGTTTGTCTGTGGACTTCTCTATTCTTTGATATTAATACCTGAATAATGTTAATTTCGTATTACAAAATCAATGTTCCACACAGATTTTTCACAATATCATAATTTATTCATCTTTTTATGTACTATGACATATGGTTCATGTGACTCTCTCATTTAGAGATATGTCATATGGGTTCAATCTCTGAATGCTACGAACGCAAGATGATAATGTTTCAAGGGTCCTAGCTGCTTAGTATTGCAAAAACTCGCATGAAATACTGCCTACTGTATCTTAATATCGTAATATTTGATCAAAAAAAGATCAGATGAATGACGATAAACATTTTATTTCAATGAAATAAAACAAATGATCAATAACAATAATGAATAAAAAAGAATTAATGAATGAATGAACCAAAAGAGAAAAACAAGATCATATATAGATCACGAACAGAAAAATCAAAAATGCAATAGAAAAAGAACAAGATCGTCATGTTCTGATGATGATCAACAAGGCAGCAAGACAAAGCATATCAAACAGAAAAGAAAAGAATTCAATACAATAGAAATGAGTTAGCATCATAGAGTGGGATTCGATGACACTAGCACCTCTTCTCTTTCCGTAAAACCGATTGATCATGACACCTGCCCACTCTATTGGGTAAGCTGATTGAATAATCATATCGACGGTCGAGTAAGAAGACGAAGCGATGAACAGATACAAATAAATAGAACTATAGAAAAACAAGATGTTAGAAAAAAAAACTAACAATAAAAAGTTTGACAAACCAATATTTATATTAGGAAAAAAACGATGGCTCATGAGTGTTCTTGTGAAAACCATTCATAATAACTTTTTTCATCAAAATCTGCGAGAGTTAAGATTTGGCCGGCATATTGTTGATGAACAAAAATATTGAACTAGATGAGAATTTCTGATGATAAAATTCTGTTAAATCATTATATTTTGTTTTTCAATATTTTAGAGTATTTGTAATGTATTTTTTATTTCGAGATGCAATAGCAGCACGAGAATGTGATTGATAATTGGCACGATTAATTCGTTTACAGATTAGCTCATCAAAATAGGATTGAATGGTATCGAAGAGAAAGAGTAGATGTTTTATATGAAGATCAATAAACGAAAAAGCCATGCGTATCGATAAATCCTTTAGCAAGAAGTAATAGAATCATTATGCTCATGTGTAAGATGAACATGATGAGAGAAGCGAAGAAATTGATGAATAAAGAATTAAAATCCTAGTACACAATCGACTATTATGATTATAAACACATTGTAAATAATGAAATAGATCGAGTAAAGAGTTTATAATGAGGTGTAGTGTAGGTGTGGATGTAATTAATCTATTCACCCAAACTTGGAAAGCAGGGGTCAAAAATGTGATTTTTGCCTGAATGTTCTTTACGGATTGGTTCATACCATACCAATATCTACTTAGAGTTGTTCATAGATTGTGATCCCAGTGTTGAAAGGAGCAGGTCGTATAAGGTAACTTAACCATATGTGTCCGTGTGTGGGTGTCAGTGCAAAAGAAGAGAAGATACGTACCCATACTGTAAAGAAACTATTTCATCATATTTCTGTATTTGCATAAAGCATGCATCTCGTTCTTTGAAAATAATAGATTGCGGAAAAATCAAATGATTTAAGAAAAAATCTTCGAAGAATCGTTTTCGATAAGTTTTATTACTCACGGAGATTATTTTGTTTTAATTTTGAATTACATCATGATATAGAAAAACAAATAATTTCTGTATTTAATTCTAAACTAATAACTTTGAACAGTATTTGTGAAGGTTTATTCCTATAAATATAAACTTCACACTGATATCTATAATTCGAAAAAAAAACATAGTTGATTAAGTTTGATAAATAATGGAATTATATGAATTTAATTGTCGATTGAACTTTTAAAACATTCTGTATTTACAGTTTTTTCTCAATTTTATTATAGAAATAAAATATTCTTTAAACAAACTTAAGTTTTAATAACTATTCAAAAATAGATTCTTCTATAGAAAATGAAGTTGTATTCTAATTGTTTACATATGACTTTCATCGAAATTTAATTCATAATTTCAAATTTACATGAGCACCTAGGCTTTGTTCGAGTTTTATTTTTATTGAAAAGATAGATAAATGAAAAAAACTTTTGAATTCTAATTAATCTACCAACAATTTACATTTTCTTTATTTATTAACGAATCCATAATCGAATAGTTTCGGTATTAGGTAAGTTGTCTGTTGCAATACGTGAATATCCAGATGACATCCATCTAATCATTTGTTCTGTGTTAGGAAAATAATTGTCGAATTGACCAGGTTGAAGCATCACTTTTAATGCTTGAAGATTGGTCATTTCATTGACTAGAACATCAATATTCGATCGATTATCAATGACAATTTGAAGAACTTGACATTGTTTTGCCAGTGATGAACAAACAAATGTCGAACATTGTTCACTATTGAAGCAGCGATCACGTTTTAAATAATGATGACTTTGTAAATCGAGTCGACGAATTGAATTACTAGTAATATGCAATGGTAAATGTTGAATAGTCGATGATTTCCAATGGCCAATAGTCAATAAGTAAAGACGAGGTGCTAGATTAATAAGATTTTGCAATTGAGATAGGGCAATATCAGCATCAATATCGGAATTACTTGCTACTCCGAGAGAAATTAATTGATCGAATCGTGGAAGAACAGAAAAAAATTTATCAGCAACAGGAAATACTATCTCAAGATGACGAATGTTGTTAAAACGAATATTAGATATAAACAAATCATTTGATATTGAATGAGGATGCATTAATCTGGTTACACAATTATAAGACCAATAATCATTTTCAATAGGACACGTTGATTTAGTACAAGCATTAGAATTTTCTAATATGTAAGAATAATACGAGAATGCGTAAGGTAATGTATAAAAATAAATAAAGATCTTATCATTTTTTAAATTCCAATGACATCGTACAAACCACTGATGATCAATAAGCCAAAATGAAGTTCGATAAGAATTTAAAATTTCATTCATTTCTTCTTCATTATTAACAAAAAATAACATTAAAAATCTGAATATTTTCAATTTTGGTAAATAATCAATAATAAATTGTTTCCATTTATGACCATTCATATGATGTTTTCCTGTTTGAAGAGTTAAAACAGTTAAATTGGGCATGTTTTTCAAGAGATTAATAGTTCCATCAGTTAGATGATCGACGACAAATTTTAATGAAGATATTGATTGAATTACAAATGGAAACTGGATATTATCAGATAACTTATTGATAAAAGCTGTTAAATGTCGAAGATTTGGTGTACATCAAAATAATCGAATTAATTCAATAAAACCAAACGAAACATTTTCAATACATAAATATTCAATTGATTTTGATCGATTCGTTGGAATAGAAAATTCATATGCGTCTACGAAATTAATATCAAGATGACAATGTACTAGTTTACGTAGACGCCAGATACGATTGAGAATATCACGTTGTGTTTTTCGGTGAAACATTAAATGACAATTAATCAAATTGAAATGAGTAAGAAGAGGAAGATGACATAATTGAAAGACGATTTTTTTTAATCATTTCATTTGAAGATATATGATAGAGTGATAATGATTTTAATTGAACAAATTGACGAAGAGCTAATGAATCAGAGAGAAATAGATGAATTTGATCCGGTGTATCATTATCGTCCGAAAGACGAATTGCAGTTAGACGATCAGCAATTAAATGAAGATTTTCTCGACAAATAATATTAAAATCATCTTTTGATATTGATCGAAAATCAAGACCATGACTTTGAAAATGAATAATGAGAAGATTATTAAAACGAGAATTTAGATGAAAAAAACATCGAAGAAGATCAACACTTTCAAGATATTCGAATAAGTCGAGCAGTAATTCATTAACTAATCGTTTAAGTTTCATTTTTTTCTCGTTGCAAATTTATAGATGTATCAGATGAGATCTGTTCGATTTGAAGAAAAAACAAAAACAATTGTATATAGAACAAAGAAAAGCATTCTCGTGATACAATTTGATAACGAATAGAAATAATAATAATAATAACGTCCCATAGGCTTATCGCCCGTAGAGGCCGGTCGCGGTTATTATTAATAATTTCCACATGCAGCCGGGCTCTTTTGTCTTTTTCTTTTTACAGACGGCGGTATCTGCACCCTCTTCCCGTTCAACATACTGACTAAATATAGTCAGTATGAATGACTCATGTGGAATGAGTCATTAGAGACAACTTAGCCGTTAGTAACTTGTCCAGAGTCATTCCATGGGTGATGTTACTGAGGTTTGAACACAGTACTTTGTGGGTGCGTGCTGAACAACGTAACCACTCAACCATGGCGGCTAACGAATAGAAATAATCTTTTCATATTTAAGAAATAATATGTTTACAATTGATTTCTATTTGTTATAATTGTACAAATAGAACAGTTCTCTTTCTTCTCTTTGTTTTATATAGAATTATTTCAATTATGTTTTTCGAATAAAATAGCTACTTTCAAAGAATATTTAAATCAAAAATTTGATTAATTAAATCCAGGTGAATGCATCAGGAAAAAATATCAACACTGAAATTACATTTCTTGCATGGCAAGTTCTATAAGAACTATTTATCATTTAATGAAAAAACATAATGCTGCTTCTATCGAATTGAATCGGCTACTTTTGTGTTCTATATTTGAACTAGTTTAAACATAAGTCTAAAACAGTATTCCGAATAGGAATTCGAAGTAGAGTGCACTGTTGCACTTTGCTTCAACAGTTATAGTGCAGCAAAAAGCAGACGTAAAAAACGTATCTAGAAAAAAGAAATAGTAGTTTATGTTTCGCATTCTAGATTTCCCATGTAAAAAGATTTGACTAGAAAATGGGATTTTAATGTTATTGAAATCGTGTCATTTTTAGTCGATTTTAATTTAATGTCTTGCGAAATTTCTTTTACATGGATGATCTTTTTAAATAAAATAACAATGAAAAACAAGAATGTAAATTATTATTAAATCGCAAGATTTACAAACAAAATAAATCAGAAATAAGGATCAACTATACGTGTAGTTATTTATCTTCCATCAGCACTAAAATATGTACAATAGAGAAACTAAGGTGAAACAGAAGATAAGTCACCTACCCAAGCAGGCAAAAATTTGGAAAACGCATTTAAACACTTAAAATGCAATTGTGATTGTGAACTACTAATCCTCATTAAAAAAATGCAAGAAACACATTTTTTGCGAAAAATTTTCATTTTGAGAGCATAAAAACAGCGAATAAGTCTAGTTTTTAAGCGTTAAAACGCTTTATTTTAAAATTCTAGAATAAAAGCCTGTTTTAACGCTCAACAATAACAGTTTTTCGCTGTTTTCACACTCTGAAAGTGCAAGTTATGGGCAAAAAACACTTGCGTTTTTTAATGAGCATTAATATATCACAATAGCGGTTCTATTTTGAACGTTTAAGCGCGTTTTTCCAAATTTTTGTCTGCTTGGGTAATGGTTATTGCTTATTTGAGAGAGAAAAAGATCATAATCGATTCAATTATCATCGTTTTTATTCTCTTCTTCTTCTTCTGCACAATGCATATCAACACAATCATAGCAAAAACATTGTGTTGAACGCGTAGATACTCCTAATTACATTAGCCATTTATTACAAAGTCATTCAGAACAATTTTCATCTATCCAATTGTATAATTGTTGTTTCAGATTCTGAAATAACAATAAATAACATGATAGATAAAAAAAACTGAACTGTACAGAGTAAACAGTCAATCAAAACTAATAAACAAACAAAGTGCAAATCAGAAACGATAGGTGACTGATGCACTTTGCTTCTGCTTGGAGCACTGATCATTCGGAAAACTGATTATCAGCTTCTCAATTGTTTTAACTGTAACGAGCAAAAATGATAAGACTAGTAATAATTTTCCATAGAAAATGCGAGAAAAGATCTGAAAAATATAATTTGTCTGAAACTTTTGTTTTTTGATTATCTTTTGATACAGATGATCTTAGAATTTATATTATAAAAAAATATATGTTAGATCAATTTGTTCATAAGTACCTTTCATTATTCGAGATTATGATAATAGATACTTCAAAAATAAATTTAATTAAAAGTTCATCAATTGATGATTTTATTTATCTCATTTCTTTCTAAAATAAAATAGAAAATTTCTTGAAAAGAAAAAATAAATATTTCTTTTTATCACACATTCCATTGTCTATCAACAGATTTTCCTTTTGGAATATCGAATCATAATCATCTTTCATAAGCTCATTTATTATAAATAATTATTAATAAAATCAACACAAAAAAAGTCTATCAGATTTTTTCAAATTTCTATTATCATCAAATATTTCTATTTCTATTTGTTTTCTTCAACTTCTTAAGATATTGCGCATCTTGACTTTCAATTTAATTCTTGAACAAGTAAAGTAAAATGAGTCTCTGTATTAAAATACGAAAGATGAAAATAATAGAAATTAAGAAATTATCTCAACATATAAACAAACCTTATTTATTTTAATAGAGAAACAGAAAAAATAGATAATGATTTATATCGATGGCACGAGTAATATATAACAGTGTTCATATCAATATCAACAAATAGGTAATGAAACATCTGTTTCATATAAATGATAATCATTGATTTATAACAAATTTCGACTTAGTTGAAAAACTCTAAATTTTACAAAAATAATCAATTAAACGATGTTTGATTTTCTAATGAGAGAGGCTCAAATTTTTTATACAAAGGAATTATTTCTAATCGAGATATATTATCTATAATTTTTATTCGTTATTTCAGAATAAAATTCGTGTAATAAACTATTAATAATTTTAAAAAAATAAAAATTGCATTCAAAATTCGTCTTGTTATACATTTCTCAAAATGATCAAAATAAACTAAAATAACAATTTTCGTTTATATCAATATTCATTTTAAAATCATTGTCAACTAGAGTAATTACTAGAATTACTCTGTTTAAAGCAATTATCATTAATATAAATGTATAAAAATTAGATACTACAGAAATATTTTTCAAAAATAAATCAATTAGATTCGTTACTTTGTTTTAATCAATATATAAACAAAATAAGATAATTGAATTTAAGGTAAATTTATATTTAGAATCAGAAGAAAATAAGTATACTAAATTTTTTCCAACGATTCCTGACTGTTTATAAAAGATAATATTTTTTCAAATATATACTGTTGAAATGAGCTGTGTTACTTGTAAAACTATCTGGTACGTTTATTAAGTTTTCATAATCAATGTTTACTGTGCTAACACGAGGTAAAAATGTGTTTGTTTTGAGAAGAAATTGTTTCGCACAGTCGATATGAGACAAAATTAGATCGAATGTCATAAGATGAGAATATTCAATTATTGAAAATTTTTGTTCATATTCATCTTGTTTATTTGATCGTTTCTTTTGGTACACCATACTTAATACGATTAAGTCTTCAACTAATAGAAATACTATCGAGATTAGAACAAAGGAATCATATTCAATTGAATACACATAGGATTAATCACACATAACTTATGAACATGCATTATGATATGTTCGATGAGAATATTAAAAAAAAATACATATATGCAGATATGACATTTTACTAATGATACCATTATCCAAATGAATGTCATCAATAAATGAAGTTCAATCACGAACATAAAGAGAGAATGTTTATTTTTCTAGAAACATTATAAATTTGACTGAATTTTTTATAAATATTAATATAAATCGTAAATATTATTTATTCAAAATTAGATCTAACAACTAGACAGTTATCTTCATTCTATTTTGATTCTTTTTTCCGACATTGACATGAATACTTACCCATAATCTCATAAAAAAATTGATCGCTGCTTTGACTCAAGAACAAAACAAAAAATATATCAAAAAGCTATTCAGACAATATTAAGATGAGGAAGACGACAGAGAATTTTTTGATGAAAAAACTAATTCAGAAATTGTCTTAATTATACATAGATCAAGTCATCTCTTCATGCTACGAATGACAGTGAGTCTTGCTGTGGTTGGGTGTGGGTATATGTTTCTTTCCTGTATACCCACACCCCACAGCCTGACTCATCAACTCATACCCTATTCAGGAATACTTCTAATATTCTCAAGATTGCCTCTAGCATACGCAAGAATACGTTGTCACAGTTCTTGGTTCAGAGCTCGTGAAAGATGAATTGAGATCTGCTAGGCATAATCCACATATATGACTCTACTTAATAGTAAAGTGCTATATATTAATTATGTCTACCTGAGTACACATAGCCACTTGCTTTTAATATAGATTCAATATGTCGAAGAATATGATTTGATATTTATTTTTTTATTATTATTATTGAATATTTTAAGATGACGTTTATAAAAAGTAATCAAATGCTATTTTTATCGAAATTTTTTACTATTAACTGATTACTATAAATTGAATAATGAGAAAAAAAACTTGATAAAAATAACAACGATCAAGAAGAATTAATCGTTAAATATTTAATAATTTATCTTAAATAATAAATAACACAAGTAGATATTGTGTGACATTTTAATATTAAGATCGTTAACAATACTAATAAAACTCTTCATGGTTGCATTTAAATAGTAAAGTGTAAAAAAAAACAGCGTATACTCTATTAGAATTATTTTATATTATAGTTGTGCAGAGTGATCTTTTCCCTAGGTTGAATATGATATATTTGCTTTATCTAAATATATTCTACAGATTAGTATAGAGCAGAAGAATATCTTTCTCTTTCAATATGGGATAATGTCTAATGGTCTATTCAGTATTCCGATATANTGGGTGTTGGCGGGAGATTTCGTCTCTCTCGTCAACAATACCTTTCTTTTTTCTTGAAAAGGCATAGGTTTGCCCTAAAATACGTGTAATTAATTATCAGATCGCTTAAGGAACTATATCTCGTCACTTTAAAATAAATCCTAAGATGATATTGGCAAAATGTTGCCAAAAAGCAACATTCGGCCGTAAAGGGTTAAGCTGGGTGACTAGTGATGAAGCTTTTTCTAATCGTTTATTGTTGGTACGTTCCATTTTTTTTGCTTGTCATAGAAATCAAAAAAGAATTTATGATTCAAAATATACAAGAATCATGTTGAAAAAAGTAAGCGTCGCTATCGATAATACATAACCAAAGGAGTGCACTTATTGAACTACAATTCGTCTGTCAAAAAAATAGGTAAAATAAATTTTTTTCTCATTTCATTAGGGATGTAGATATAGGTGTTGTCGAAGAAGAGAAGTGCACCCACACCCATGTACAACTTTTACAATTTTTATATGCTGGATGATCGAACGACGCATATTCTACGAATTAAATAGATATTTCAATACATCATGACTGTTTGACGACTACATAAGGCTACGTGAAAGATCTTCTGGTTATTGTTTAATCAATAATCAGAAGAAGAAATATTTTTATAAAAATGTTATTCTCTATTTCATTGTTCGTATTCGACTCAATCTCATTATGATTTAACAGATTGCTTAATTCGTACATCATACAAAATTATTAAACTATTTCAAAATTTTTCATCATTTATTGTTTTGTTTTTTTTTTTTTTTCACAAATACGAATCCACGTTTGAGCATGTTTTAATCATCTTCTTAACATGTTAGACCTCAGTACGATATTTACAGACAACAAATTGCTTCAAAGCAAGTATATTATGTTGGACAGTATTATGATTATGTATACCATTATAAAATGCCATACTTCTTGGAATAGTATTTGTGAAGTTTGTTTCCATAAAAACTTCACAATACTATCTATCATCTGCAGAAACAAATAGTTGATTAAATTTGGATAAATAGTGAAATTATATAAATTTACTATTCGATTCAACTTTTGGAACATTCTATATTTACAATTGCAAATAAAATATCCTGTAAAAAAAATGCCTACTAAAGTATTGTTCAAGTTTTTTTTTTATTGAATACAAAAATGAAAACAAACTTTTCAATTCTATTTAATCTATTAACAATATACATATGATTTATTTATTAACGAATCCATAATCGAGAAGTTACAGTATTAGCTAAGTTTTCTGTAGCTATACGTGAATATCCAGATATCATCCATGTAATGAAATCTTGTCTACTAGGAAAATAATTGTTCAATTGATCAGATTCAACTACCACTTTTAACGCTTGAAGATTGGGCATTCCATTGATTAGTTCATTTATACTTGATTGATTATTGACGACAATTTGCAGAACTTCACATTGTTTAGCAAATGATGTAGAAAGAAATGTCGTACATTGTTCAGTATTGAAACAACGATCACGTTTTAAATAATGATGACTTTGTAAATCGAGTCGACGAATCGAATTACTGGTAATATACAATGGTAGTTGTTGAACGATTGATGAATCCCAATCATTAATAGTCAAAAAGTATAGACGAGGTGCTCGATTGATCACAGTTTGTAATTGAGATAGAACAATGTCGCCATCAACATCGGAGTCACTTGATATATCGAGAGAAATTAATCGATCGAGTCGAGGAAGAACCGACAAAAATTTATCAGCAACTGGAAATACTAATTCAAGATGTCGAATGTTGTAAAAGCGAATACGAGATAGAAATACATCATCGGATGTCGAATAATGTTGAATCAATCTGGTTACACGATTATAAGAACAATAGTCATCTTCATAAGGACATGTTGATTTAGTACAATCACGAGAATTTTCTTTCATGTAAGCGTAAAAAGAAAAAGCGTATGGTAAAGTATAAAATAATATCCAAAGACTGTCATTTTCTAATTTCCAATGATATCGAACATACCATTGTCGTTCAATAAGCCAAAATGGAGTTCGATATGAATCTAAGATTTCATTCATTTCTTCTTGATTATCAATAAAAAAAAGCATAAGAAATCGAAATATTTTTAATTTTGGTAAATAATCAACAATTAATTGTTTCCATTTATGACCATTCATATCATGTTTTCCAGTTTGAAGAATTAAGACAGTTAAATTAGGCATGTTTTTAAGTAGATTAATTGTTCCATTAGTTAGATGATCGACGACAAGTTTTAATGAAGATATTGAAGTAATTTTAGATGGAAATTGTGTATCGTCAGAGAACTTATCAATAAAAGCAGTTAAATGTCGAAGATTTGGTGTACATCGAAATAATCGAATTAATTCACCAGCATTCAACAAAGTATTTTCAATGAATAAATGTTCAATGGATTTCGATCGAATCGTTGGAGTAGAAAATTCATGTTTATCAGCAAAATGCAAGTCGAGATGAACATGTGTGAGTTTGGATAAAAGCCAAATACGATTGAGAATATCACGTAGTGTTTTTCGATGAAACATTAAATGACAATTGATCAAATCGAAATGAGTAAGAAGAGGAAGATGACGAAATTGGAAGACGATTTTGTTAATAATTTCAAATGAAGATAGATGGTAGAGTGATAATGATTTTAATTGAACAAATCGATGAAAAGTCAAAAACTTAGAAAGAAAGAGATCAATTTGATTCGGTGTATCATCATCGTCCGAAAGACGAAGTGCAGTAATACGGTCAGCAATCCAAGGAAGATTTTGTTCGCAGACAGTATCAAAATCATGTTTGGATATCGATCGAAAATCAAGTCCATGAGTTCGAAAATGAGTAATGAGAAGATTATTAAAACGAGAATTAAGATTTGAAAAAGCTTGAAGTAGATGAACACTCTTGAGACACTCGAAGGTGTCGAGAATTAGTTCGTTGACCAACCGTTCGAAATTCATTTTTTTCTATCTTCAGTTTTAGGTGTATGTTCTAAATGATTAAAAAAAAAGAATATATTAGTTCATTTTTTCTGATCTATCTCTATCGAATTGGTTACCGACCACTAGATGAAATCAGTTCACTTTTTGAAAAAAATAAGATTGAAATAATAATAAGAAAACTAGAACAAAGAGGAGAAAGAAAAGTATTCTCTTTGTGCAATTTATAACGAATAGAAATAATCTTTCCATATTTGATCGTGACACTTATCATTCATTTCTATTCGTTATGAATTGTACAAATAGAACACTTATCTCTCTTTTCTCTGTGTTTATATGATTATAAGTTTATGTTTTGTGTTTGTTAAATCTTGAAATTGAAGATTTATTCTTCGAAATAGCGACTTAAAATAAAATAAAATTTGAAAAGAACTGTTTTTTTTCCCAATGAAATTAAAAAGAAAATACTTCACATTTGATATAATGACTTGTTTAATTAATAAACATCACAAGCATTCGAATCAAATATATTGTTAGAACAAAATAGTCCCTTTTTAAAGAATATTAAAAGCAAAATTTTGATTAAGTATGAAGTAAATCAAGGCTAGTGGATTGTGAAAAACCTACAAATATTAAGATTACTCTTCTTTAAGAACAAGCTCTACAAACAACTATCAATCATTTAATGTAAAAAGATAATGCATTGGTCTGAAGGTGTGGGTGTATATTTATTTGACATGAAGGGATTTTGCTCTACAAAACTGTCGACTTTGTTCTTGAAATGGCGATGCCGCTTAAACCTCAGTTGTGTCACAAAATCAGCTTACAGTTTTGAGTGTGGATAAAAAGTTCAGCGCATCCAGATATACGTATCTAATAAACTGACATAAATTGTTGGTGTCAATAGCGATTCAGTTGAAGAAATAGTTGATTTTATATGAGACAAAAGTGTTGAGAATGAAAGAACATTATCTATTGTACGTAATATTCTCCAGAAATTGTATTCATGCCGTTTTTCAACAAAATTGATGGATTAAATCAATCAGAGATAATATATTGTTCTCTTCGAATATTCGTGACACCTATTAAAGTAATTTTTATATTAATTTCGGCATAAGTTTTGAGTTAGAATGATAGAAAAATTACCCATGATGATATCTATGTCAAAATCGTAAGAGAAGTGTGAAAAATATCTTTTAAATAGCATAAAAATAAATCTAAAAGAATAGAGACCTTATTTTCGCTTGTTCAAAGAAAAATGAACTTATTTTTAATATTAATCAAATTCTGTTGAATTGTTTTCAGAAATATAATTCGAATGATATTTATTATAATAATAGTTTTATCAAATCTGGAAATATCCTAATAATTAAGAAATTCATATAGTTGAAGAACTAGGGGTTTCATAAAGATAATCAATTAAAAGATGCTGGATTTTCTAACCAGAGAACCTGAAAAATTTTTTATTCGAAGAACTTGTTTCCAATTGAGATATACTATTTAGCGTTTTTTATTCGTTATTTAAAAATAAAATACATTTAAAGAACGATTAGTAATATTAAAAGTTTAAAATTTCATTGAAAACTCGTTTTTTTATTCAGTTCTCAAGATGATCAAAATCAGCTAACATAACAATTTTCGTTCATATTACTATTCATTTTCAAATCTTTGTCAGATCGGGTAATTACTAGACTTACTCTATTTGAAGCAATCATCGTTCGTGTAAATGTTGAAATTAGATTTATACATATACTACAGAAATATTTTCCAACACTAAACAATTGGATTCATTACTTTGTTTTTATTGATTTGTAAACAAATGAGACAAAAGAATCAAAATGAATTTGTATTTGTATTTACAACAACAGGAAAATAAGCAAAAAATATTTTCCCAAAGATTCTTGAGTGTTTACGATAAATAATGTTTTTTAAATTTGCATAGTTGAGAAGAAATTGTTTTGCATAGTCGGCATGAGACATAATTAGGGTGTGGGTGTGGGTGAGGTTAGGTGTGGGTATGGCTGGGTGTGGGTACGAGGGTGTAGTATGTGGGTGTGTGTGCCGATGTGGCTGGGTGTGTACTGTGGGTGTAAAGAACACTTACGTGCACACCCACACCCAACATCCACACATTCGCCAACACTCACACCCACATGTCAAGTCAAGAGGAGTGACAAATAGTGGCGGATCCAGGATTTTTCAATATGCTGGATTTCAGGTTCAGAGCATGGGACCTAGATGAAACTTATAGAGGTATGATATTGAACCCAAATGATGAGTTTTTATCAAAAGATTTTTTCGATGGGAGTTTTCAAAAAAAAATTAGAAGTTTCCTGAGCCAGCTCCCCAAGATTTTTCTTTTGCTATCAGTATTATTCTGTTTTATTAGAATTTACTAGTAAGCTACATCAAAATTCATCGGCAGATTTCAAATTTCATCTAAAAATATGCATCCGTTCTCGAGTTATAATGTTTTGAATTTTTGCTACATGCTGCTAAAATTTTAGTAAAAATTCAAAACATTATAACTCGNTTAATTTTTCATGAAGGATTACTGTATAGTTAGAGATGTGAACTGTAAATGTATCGAAAATCTTTTCGTATACTACGACATAACATCTATTTATCTAAATAAAATATTAAACCACTGTGTACGAAACTAAATAACTCATTAACAAAAAAAAAACTACCAATTTAACTAAAATAGAACTGTATTTAAAAGCACATTTTGTATTGACATTGGTAAAAATATTTCTGTTGAGATGTTGTCCAAACTGCGCTTTTAAATACAGTTCTATTTTAGTTAAATTGGTAGTTTTTTTTTTGTTAATGAGTTATTTAGTTTCGTACACAGTGGTTTAATATTTTATTTAGATAAATAGATGTTATGTCGTAGTATACGAAAAGATTTTCGATACATTTACAGTTCACATCTCTAACTATACAGTAATCCTTCATGAAAAATTAAAGAAACCAGTAAACTATAGAGACTTCGATTTTAATCGATATTTCTTCATATAATAGTAGTGTGAGATCGTCGCCATTTGTTAAATAGACATTTCAGAAAGTAATCATTGTAAACTTTCAAATGGCAACCACTGAAGGAATTCGTGTCATGCTTTCGTATAATCATAAGAGTAAAGCTATTGTCACGGCAGTTTACAAAGCTTTAGTAGACGAAAAAGTTCCAGTGTGGTTCGATGAAAAAGATATGGAAGATAACATACTTGACAGGTACCTACGAAATATGATCCATATTCTTTTGAAAATGTCCGCTTGTGTTGTTGTTATTAGTATGGCCGAAGGAGTTTTTGATGCTACGATTGTCTGCTGTTTTATGTCACCTGGATACGAGGCTTCGGATAATTGCAAACTTGAATTGCAACATGCACAACGACATAAAAAACGCATCATTCCATGCATGGCTGTTAACAGAAAAGTATGGAAACCATCACCAAGAAAGTGGTTGGACTTGATTACTGGCTGTATACTGGCTATAGATTTTTCTGATGCATCAGAACTGAATTTACAAGCGAGCATAAGAGAACTCATTCAGAGAATACAAAAACAACACTCAACCCCAGAAGTTGAATCAACTGTACCATCAATGCAAATCTTCGAGAAGATTCGGCAGAATTATCTTAAAAAAAATGCAGTTACACGCGCAGTGACTGACGAAACTCTGTCAATAGAAGAGAGCTATATTAATTTGGCTATCGTCGAAACAAAAGAGCAACATGAAAAAGAGAAGAAACTCAAGGAACAAAATCAACAAATACAAGAACAAAGTGAACAAGACAATGATTCTAAACAGATGACAACTAATCTTCTTAGCACCTATGAAGAAATATATGGCGTGAAGACTTCGATTCAAGTAGAAAATATTTTTGACAAATGTAAAGACCAAATAAAGAAAGTACTCGTGTTTGGACGTGCTGGAATTGGAAAATCAACCTTTTGTCAATATGTTACTTACCGATGGGCAAAAAGTGAAATTTGGTCTCAATACGAACTAGTTATTCTCATTTCTTTACGAAATTTAACAGATAGCAAGTATAAATCAGGAAAAGATTACTCGCCAGTTGATATAGTACAAGAGGAACACTCACTATCGGAAGATTTATCGAATGAAAGTAGACGCTGGTTCGAAAAACAATGTAAGGATGGTCGCATTCTATGGGTATTAGATGGTTATGATGAGTTTGTTCAGAATATTCCGAAACAGTTAAAACCTATGTTCGACTATATACATGGAACGCAACATCATATATTGACATCTCGTCCTTATGCTGTTTCAATAGTATATGATGTAAAAATGGAAATAACAGGATTCACCAATGAAAATATTCCAAAATTTATCGAGCATTTCTTCAATGGAATTAAAAACGAAATGAAAGATGCTTTACTTAGGAGCGAAAAACTGTTGCGTTTCTTGGAATCTAATCCTGGTATTTGGGGAGTTGCCCACATTCCTGTAAATTTAGAATTGATATGCAGCCTTTGGGCGAACACTGCTTCATCCAAAGAAAGTATGTTAACAATAACGCGATTATATGATAATATAACAGAATGGTTGTGTCGACGGTACTTAAAGAGAAAAGATAAGGGTGAAGAAATAAATTCAAATCTAACTCCGTATAAGAGATGTGATATGGAATTACAATTTCTCGAACGTTTGGCCTTCAAAGCAATGGAAAGCAGTCAAATTATGTTACCGCCGGAACTTCTTGTAGAAACAGAATACGAGTTGAATTGCTCATTAGATAACTATCCGCATTTATTGAATATGGGTATTCTAAAATCATATGATGACAGACCCATTAACGATAAAATAGAAGCCAATAAACAACATTATTTTGTTCATTTGACTTTCCAAGAACATTTTGCAGCTCGACATTTATTGAGAACTTTGAACAATTCAAACAAACAAGAACCAATAGATTTTATCAATAATAACAAGTACAACCAACGTTTTCATTTCGTCTTTGTTTTTGCATCAGGTCTTCTAGCAAAACCTGATT